GCCAACGAGGTCGGCCTTCGGTACCTTGATACTTCCCCCATCTACCAGAGGCATTGGGAACTACTTGGGCGGGAAAGTTTTTACCTAATAATTTTGCTCAGAGGTCTCCTACAGACATGAGGTTCTTTTACATGTCGTAAATCTACGACACGGGACCCACGGCTTAAAGTCCCTCCCGGAGGAACGTTACCCCTAGACTGCGGAGGCCGCTTTCCTGATCGTATATTACCACAGTCCGTTTTCATTTCAGTGCATCTTGTATATTTAAGTTTCTACTTGAAAGCCACTTCACTAACGCGGAAACAATTCGAAGGTCTGTCGATAGCGGTGGGTTTGTGTGTAACGCTGGGCTTTCCCAGAACTACGTTGCGTTACAACCCAGAAGACAGCGCCCATAATTGAAATTTGTTATGTTAATTATTAAATTGCATTTTAATATATTTATATTCAAATAAATTAATCTGTATTTTATAGTGACGGCCTCTGTGTTCTAGTGGTTAGAGTTCCTGGCTACAGATGCAGAGGTCCGGGTTCGATTCCCGGCGTTATCACATTTTCTGAGAAGTAGTGGATCTGGAACGGGGTCCATTCAGCCTCGTGAGGATAACTGAGGAGCTTTTTCAAGAAAATAGCGGCTCCGGTCTAGAAAACCGAGATTAACGGCCGTGGGGAACCGTTGCGCTGACCACGTGATATCCTCTATCCGCAAAAGTTGACACTAACTTCGCCGACAAGCGGCTGTCGCTCGGTCGGTATAGTTCGCTTACGGACTACAGGCCACGGAGTTTTGCATTGTATAGTAGTTATACGTGAGACGAAGAGTAATTGAATTTTGGACGGAAATGTCACTTTTCATTGTGAGTTGAAAAATCTGGGAGAATATTAATTGTGCGACTTTATTTTCTTCCTTGTTCTCGCATTGATATCTCCTTCATTTAACCGGAGATCCTCTTGAGTTTGTCAACACGACAAGCGATTCTCTGTCCCATCTAGTGAATTTATAGTGCGTTCCTTCGTTAATGAAATGAAATTAATCGGAGAATAACTGATATCAAGTTCAACTTCAGACGCCGGTGAGTCAAAAAAGTTGCCCTTTTTGTGTGTGTGTAAATATTCTGCAGTGTTTGGTTCTGTGTATAGAACAGAAAGACCACTGCATTTAGCAAAATAGGTAAAAATAAGTTAAAACACACACTTATACTCCACCAATAATAATCACGTGATCAATTCAACTGAATCAAAACTCTAAAAGACTAACTCAGTGGTCGAAGACCTTACGGATTGAAGATGTAACACAACGTCCTTACGAACAGAAAAACAGGCTGCTGCAATACAACGTCTGAAGAAAGTGTAAAGATCTAAACAAGTGGACGACGCCCTTTGTATTAAAAATTGTACAAAATTTAAATAAAAAATTTAATAGTAAATTTTAATAGATTTATTTGAATAAAATTAAGTGAACTACAGGGTGTGCTATTTTAGCGCATACCACTTAGACCACGATTATGACAGTTCGAATCATGACGCGTGCAGTTGCATATGTAATGAATGGATAATATTAGTGCAGTGTAGCAGTTTTAGCATAGTAAGGCACCTAAATATGGCCATTTAGGAACGAAAAATGTGCCGAAAATGAAAGTGAAAGAAAGAAGGAATAATTTGTTGCACTGTTGACGGACTGTGTAATACGTAAACAGTTTTATACCTTCTTTAGAGGCTAATTATAACTCATCAAGCAAAGAAATTCACATGTCTTTACAGAAATCGAAGGTTCGACAACATTTTTTTACAAGAGGCTACCACAGAACATTTTCTGAACTCTATGACTCAAGTCCAGTTGACGCATTTCTTAAAAACCCTTTCTAATATTATTCTCTCGTCTCTGTCTAGTCTTCCATGTAGTTTCATCCTTTCATGTGATCCCACTAATATTTACCGCGTATGAGTGACTATAGTCGGGGTTTCGGATAATTGGATCTATTGACCCACTTACAGGTCGTAACTACAAATAACTGTAACACTGTTGCTGAGTTGCACACTTTACAAATCACTACAACACACGCTAAGGTTTACAGCCTTTAATGACTTCACTAGAAGTTTCCTGGTAACGGCTTCTAACAGTATGTTTTCCTCTGCTGAAATCCTTTCTGAACGGCTGCTCCCTTACAACTGCATCTTTGTTTCAGCTGTCCTCCTTATAGCCCCCTTGCAAGGACCGAGTAAACAATATCATTGCCAAGAGTACCTCTAATGTTGCATGCGTATCTTACTGAGCCGTTGCCTAGAAACGGCTCTACACGCTACGATATATATATATACTGCATTAACAGAATGGTCTTTGTAGTAGACACTTGATATCTTTCTTTGTGAAGCGGGGACTGAATTTTAAGCAATTTCCGGCGTCAAAGTATTGTTACGAAATGTATTTCATATTAACAATTTGAAGCCCGAAATTTGTTTAAAAATCAGTTCGTATATAACAAAAGCACACCTAGACTTCGTTACAAAGACCAGGACATTAATGTAATTTAGAGACATAATCGTTATTTGTAAAAACTAACTTCGATAAAAGAATACATATTTTTTTTAATGCTAGTGGAGTGGGACTAAGTCCCTTGTGCTGCGGCCACTTCTGGCCTATTGTACCAGCCCCAGATGATATGTGAGGGTGATTGTGGAGCAATTGGTGGAATGAAGATTGGCAGGGGAAACCGAAGTACTCGGAGAAAACCTGCCCCAGCGCCACTTTGTCCACCACAGATCCCACTTGACCAGACCCGGGATCGAACGCGGTCCGCCGCGGTGGGGAGCCAGAGACTAACCGCTTGAGCTATGGTGCGGACCAAAGAATACTTAAGTTCTCTTTTCCTTCAACTGAAAACAGAGACGGGTAATCACAATTTCCTAGCTCAACAATGAACAGAAGAGGCACATTTCTGTGAGTCACAACTTGACCAACTATAAGAGTCTGTGTTCGAGTGATTTGGTTTTCAGATATAAAATAAACGCTGCCAGACACTTTATGTAAATTTTTACTAATAGCTATTGTTTCGATATTACTGTCATGCAGTCCGTTTTTCAATATATATGTTTTATAAATATATTTATTCCAAATGCAGCAAATTCACCAATCCGTCGAAATGAACAGCCCTAGTTCCTGCTGAAGTTTCCACACACGTCCTCTACGTTCTCCCATTCGTATATACTCGTATTAAATCACAGTTCTACTGAGTATACACGTTATCAATAAAGGAAATTTCTTTTCTGTGAAGGATGCGGCAACAATATCGACTGAAGCATCGGCACCTCTCGCTGCCGCATGGCGGTCCTACCCGCAGCTACTAACAGCGGCTTCTGCATCGAGACAGAGTAAATAAAGAAACGTATACGCGGATGGCAATATGACTGATAGAACTGCATGTAGGCACTACAGACTGCATCTGCTTCATTCGCATGGCTTCGTAATTTCAGTATTGAAACTAAGAATAGTTTGTGATTACAGAATCTCACCGGAGATTAAAGTGGTATCCTTTTTTTATATCTCGAGTCTTTTGCATTGTTAGAAATTCATGAATTGTGACTTTTGCGAGCAATTTTTATGTCGACTTGCATTATATTCAGTCTCATTACTTTCAGGAAATGTTAAAATTAGAAAGCAAGAGATCTATAGGAAACATTTCGTCCAAATTCACAAAAGGAAAAGATGCAAGACTGGAAGGAAGAACACGGCACGAAGGGTTTCGGCGGGACGAGGNTAATTAGAATTTATCTCTTGTCACATGAGTCTCGTGACCCCACATAGTAAGTTGCGTCGATATGTATAGATGTGACGTCATGCAACGGCCTGCACTTGTAACAGCAAATTCCTTGGGTTTAAGGAGAAACAGGGTGACCCTATTGTTCACATCCGTTACTGAAACACCTAGAACACAGGGAATTTCACTTTCAAGTCAGGTGGCAGTAGATCGAATACCGAACCGGTAAACACCCTATAGCAATAGGAATAAACTTACTAATACAACCCCCCAATCCAGGACTTCAGTATTATTTTTTTATTGCTAGTGGGGTGGGACTAAGTCCCTTGTATTGCGGCCACTTCTGGCCTATTGTACCAGCCCCAAATGATAGGTGAGGGTGATTGTGGAGCAATTGGTGGAATGAAGATTGGCAGGGGAAACCGAAGTACTCGGAGAGCCCCAGCGCCACTTTGTCCACCACAAATCCCACTTGACCAGACCCCGGGATCGAACCCGGGCCGCCGCGGTGGGAAGCCAGCGACTAACCGCTTGAGCTATGGCGAGGCCCTCAGGACTTCATTAGGGTATATTTTGGGTCTTAATTCTTAGACAGCCGGTCACGGTGGCCGCGCGGTCTGAGGCATGAACTGTGTTCGCTCGATCGGAAGCCGGGATGGTGGGTACATACTGTGTATATATATGAAATGCAGCAGTTCGTAGTTTATATGTTTGTCTTTTAGTTAAGAACTATGCCATGAAGACATGGGGGCATGGAGGGGCGGCTGGATGTGCTCCCGAGTCGGTCCGGACGCTGTGGAGAAGAGAAAAATCTTGCCCCTGCCGGGAATTTTACCCAGGCCGTCCAGGATACAATACATTTCCGCCGTTTGAGGCTATTATTAAGCTGCAGTATGCCTATTGTACCAGTCCTGAACGATAAATCAGTATGGTGCGTTTGGTGGAATATGAATTGACAGGGGAGACCGAAGTACTCGGAGAAAACCGGCTCCAATGCCACTTTATCCACCACAGATCCCATATGATCTGACCTGGAATGAAAACAGGGCCGCCGCGACTAACCTCCTGAGCTATTGCACGGCCCAAATTATGCTTTAGATGAATGTGCTGCCTCGATTATTAGGGTACCCTGAAGATGGAGGCAGCAGGTTTCTCCGAAATAGTAGTAGCTGTCTAGCGTCCCATGCCAGGAGACAGCGTTCCTCTGCTTCTTATGATCCTGACAGATGTTTTGTCCCATTTCAGGTGGGGTGCTGTCCCTGAAGCTGGTGAGGGTCAGTGTACCGCAGTACAAGGTCCGCGGCGACATGGCGCTCCTGGAGTGTCAGTACGAACTGGGGCGCAACCAACTCTACTCCGTCAAGTGGTATAAAGATAACGAGGAATTCTACCGTTACGTGCCTGGCTCGGACACCATAAAGCAGAGTTACAAAGTGGACGGAGTAAGAGTCGAGGTTAGTCCCACACTTGTCCTCAATTAATTCTTAGGGTGAGTAAGACTGACTCCCTTGGTACTAAGGTGTTAAATGTCTCTTGTGTCAATCCCGGACATTAGACAACAGAAATGGAATATAGGTTAGATGAGACCTAAGTACTCAGGTATGGCCGCGCCATAGCTCAAGCGGTTAGTCGCTGGCTTCCCACCGCGGCGTCCCGGGTTCGATCCCGGGGTCTGGTCAAGTGGGATTTGTGGTGGACAAAGTGGCGCTGGGGCAGGTTTTCTCCGAGTACTTCGGTTCCCCTGTCAATCTTCATTCCACCAATTGCTCCGCAATCACCCTCACCTATCATCTGGGGCTGGTACAATAGGCCAGAAGTGGCCGCAGTACAAGGGACTTAGTCCCACTCCACTAGCAATTAATATAAAAAGTACTCCAGTACTTGGATAGAAGAATCCGCTCCTCGAGTGGATATTTCTACCCTGAAGATGGAGGTGATACGTTCCTCCAAAACGTCGGTTCACACAAAATTTACACAACGGCATGTCCCAGAAGACGGCATTCTGCATAATCACCGATGTGAAAATCTCAAATTTTACATTATTTTAGTTATTCAGTAACTCAAGAGTCCCTTGACTTCATGAAATTCGAAATTTCATTGCGGTATTCACATTATATTTTACCTTTCTGAAGCTGCTCTGTTCATACTAATCCTCTTCAGAACGTTATGAACTCTGTGTGCACTATACTTCCTTGTTTCTTATTTTCTAAAGTCGCGTCCACATTACTCGTGCTCGTGCTCGTCGGGAGACTCGTCTGGCTTTTATTTGTGCCCGTAAATCTTCGTCCACACTACTTCAGTTGCTCGCCAGGCTTCGGCGCGTGAGGATCCGTATATTTACTCGTAGTGTGTATAGGCTGTAGTCGTATTTTAATTTGGCTATAGTTTTTAGATTAAAAATTTAAAACTTGCTTGTCTCGTGACTTGTCATATCGTCCACATTATTCGCGAGCATAGCGAGTCACACGAGCACGAGCACAAATAATGTGGACGCGCCTTTAGAGACTATACAGCAAAGAAAGTCGCCACATGCAAAACCTCTTCCGCATAAATCACCAACGTTTTATTGCATATTATAATGAAAATAGGCTATTGGATTTATTGAAATTGACGAGAAATTGGCAATATTACGGCACGTGTCACATTTGTTATACCTCAATACTGATAATGGTGTGATTTCAACCCAAAATGAACTTGTGTGGAGTTTGTGCCACAAATGACGGCATACACTCAACTATATTCCGTTTCTTTGCACGGAATCACGATCGTGAACGAATCCATTTGACGAATGATGATCGAAGAGCTGAAGCAGACCAATCTAGTGCCTAACTTTGTGCAGATAAAATAATGTGGCAAGAGTTGGAGATGAGAGAGAGAGATTGTTTGTTCTGCTGAGTGCATGTTGAGAGTTGCGCTAGCAGACTTCTGTTTCCCCTCGGCTTCTCGAGTCGTGCGCAATGACAGGCCATCTCTTGTGGCTCGAGCTAGGGAACGGTGAGTGAAGTTCAGGAGCTGGTAAAGACTTGCATAGCGTGCTGAATTTTCAACTCAAGGCTGTCGCTGCTGTCAATGTCATTACCGAATATGGAGCGTAAAATCAATTTAGAAGATAAAAATTTGTGTGCGTGTGAAATATGTCTCATGTACAAAAAAGCTAACATTCTCACCTTAGGTAATATTAAACGTTTTGTACAGTGATGCTAAATTTGAAAGAGTTGGAATGTAAACTAATCACTCACCTCCTTCTATGATGCAACATAAAATTGTTCACAATCCCTCTTTCATTTAAAATAACATTAAAATCACATCAATTTATACATGTTTCGGCCTTACTTGGTCATCTTCAGGCAACGCACCGCACCGCACAGTATTTCCACCCTGTTGCATATCGCTGTTGACACTAAAATGTCTTTGTCAGAAAATAAATCTTTCCGTTCCGCGTTACTTCCCTTTTGCCGCGTCCATGTTTGTGCCCCCTTCGCACGTATGTTCACACTAGTTTGGTGTAATGTCCCTTGGATTGTGTTATGTACGTATATTAATCTCTGGTGCACTCTAAAAATATGCTTCACGACAACGGCAGACTTTACAATTGCAACCGAAGCATTATTATCGCTGTCGTCTAATGCTGCCATCTTCTGTACCTACTCGTAGCTTTGATGTCCAATGCATATAAAGACAATAAGAAGCGATAGACTCGTATGCACAAGGCTTATTGTTATCTGATGCATATTCAAACAAATAGCAGCTGCAGGACTAAATTAAAGGAAAACATTAAGATATATATATATAAACTATTTAAAATATGTGTCATTAGATTTAAACCTTCTGCTTCATATATGAATTGTAAAATTTCGCATTAAAATATTACATACTCTGAAAATGGTCCTGTTTGACCCAACGAGTGTCAGGGTTTCATTAACATTTCAATCACTTAAACTATGTAGTTGGTTAAAACACTATGCTGCAAGCCGGAAAGTCGCGGGATCGATTCCCGATGAGGTCACTAGATTTTTAATTAACCTAACCCTTCAGCCGCACTATAGCCCTGGAGTCGACTCAGCCTCTAACAGAAATGAGTACCAGGAATCTAACCGGGGGTAAAAGGCGGCCGGCGCGTATGGCTGACCTCACCGCCATCTGTGAGCCGATTGTCTAGATAAAATGTGGGAGCCTCGACGTCTCTATTGGCCTTCAGGGCCTATTACAGGGGTGGCATTACCTTTTTTATTTTATACTTATAATGCAATCTGCATTTTGTTCCAGTGAAGACGATATATCGGGAAAATGAACTGTACCAAAATATAAAATAAATATAAGAGATAAATATAATAAATATAAGAGACGTTTAAACAACAGTGACACAGACCAGTTATCACATCTATAAAGAAGGAACTAGATTTTAGTTTTACGTAGAGTATTTTAATGTTTATATCATTACAGATGAGACACAGTACTGAACTCAGGCACGAACTGATACTTTTACTGCGTAGTTAAACTTCAGCCATGTTGTTTTCACCTTGTACATGTAAAGTTTCGCCGTTAGAAGCACAGACACTGCACATCATACGCGACAAGTGCTGCAGGTCCCAGTTATATGCTGATCGTTTTGTGTTAAGACAGTAGAGAGTGTATACAACGCTATGAGACGAGGATTAGGAGCGTCCACTGTCCATTAATAACTACTGTATCCCAGTGGAAAATGGGACAGGTGTTTTGTGTGGCGAAGTGTTTCATAATGTGACAAGACACAGGATTGGAAACACAGCCGTTGTGCGCTTAATATAGCTTAGTAGTTGACACCTTATTACAGAAAACCGTCATTATAAAGGAGTTTCCTCACGTCATTGTCAGTTGTCTGGACGACACGTCTCGCTGTTACAATGATTCTGTATGAATTATGCACTACGAACCCATTTCCTCACCACATGTTTCAGAAGGCGCACAGGACTTGCGGGGAAGTACACAAACAATATACATGTATGTCAGTTTGTTTTCCCTCTATAGACCTAATTCCTCACAACTTCTGTGAAAAGGTGTAATTAACAAGGACAAAAAATATGCAGCAGTATATGTGTCGAGTCTGTTTCGTTTTCATTCCCGTAATGAAATTGAAAATACAGAAATTTATGTTCGGAAAAATTTTTGGAACTGTTGGAATTTTAAATCTGTTGTCTTACAGTAACTCCCCAAATTCTGTAACCTGCGTTATCAGGCGGTTTTTTTCTTTAACAATCTGGGAACTGCTTTTCATTTTATCTTTATTCTTTCTTTATCTTATCAGGATTACTGGATTTTAGGTCAGAATCACTGGGTTTTGGGACTTCTTCTTTCGTCCGATATTCTACAGACTAGAAAAAACGATGTTTCGGACACTGGATTTGTTTCCGAAACGTCGTGTTTTCTAGTCTGTAGAATACCTCTCGGTGAGAAACTCCAAAACCCCACTAATTCTGAATTTTAGACACCATCATCAGAATCCTTTAGAAACTGCTTGGGTTTTTGGACTTTTTCCATCGTCCGGTATTTTAAGAACACAACATCTCTGAAATTTGATGTTTCCGCCCATATCTGAGGAGTGGGGGATTCCTACTCTGTTAGGTCCGTTAGAAAGAGGTAAAAGATGCTTAACCAATTAAGCACCGCGCTATGAAGAGCAGTGGTAGAGTGAAAGTGTAGGTCCAACATTATATGGGGATGAGTGTCAGCTTCACGTCCCAGCCGCTTTATCTCCAGGAAAGGAGCCCCCGTTACCCATTGTGTAGGAGGCTGGGTGAGCCTCAGAGCCGATATTCGAAACGAGGACCTCCCAAATGCAAGTCAGGTTCGTTGCTGCTACACCAACCTTCTCGGTAGAGCGTTCGTTATAATGCAGATAGATGTAAAATAACATTGAAAGACAGTGAGGATTAAGCTTTCAGTGCTTATGTCTCCTGAGTTCTGGACTTCAGACTTTTAAGTACACATCCACGCGGCATTCAGAAAGAAATGACCCTTTAAAAGAGAGATGTAGCAAACCTGAGCATAAAACATAAGCGAGAAGAATACAACAGCTTAAAAGTAGAACGGAATACGCGCACAAAGAAAAAAAGTGGGCGCTCTTCCAACTCCTCTTTATTTTCAAAGATTCCGAACAGGTAAATGATTTAAGATACTTTTTCCATTTTCTTCTCAGAACAGAAGCGGAATATAGCCGACATTTTTCTTCTCTTCACCGTGTTACATGATCTAATTAAAATAGAAGTGTGCTTGATTTATACTCCCTTCTGATACTCATGTTCTCCATAGAGGAATAGGAGACTAATTAAAATACAGGCAATTGACAAAAATAAAGAAACATAAGTAATCAACGTGGAGTTTTTAAGGATTATAAGGAAAAAAGAGAGGATAATTAAAATGGCGGACAAAAAAAAAAGAAGATGGGGCTTAGAACGGACCTTAATTACACGCGTTTGTACACGCAGTTTGCTGTCTATAGACGAGAGATACGAGCGGTTACATTTCTAGCTTACGGCACGATGTTACAGCTTCTAAGCGGCCAGCGGCTAATTGGGTCTCTTTTAATCGGAAGCGTTTTACAGACCAATGCTCTTACAAATAATCCAAAATGAGAGCCATACTGAACACCGCTTTTTGTCTCTAAGATGTGAATAAAAGATAAAGCTATCGCTGTAACAGGCCGTGGAGGCCCATAGGATTATGAGACGTCGAGGCTCCCACAGTTTCTAGACAATCGGCTCACAGATGGCAGTGAGGTTGTCAGCCTTACTCGCCGGGCGCCTTTTATCACCAGAAAGATTCCTGGTACTTATTTCTGTTAGAGGCTGAATCAACCTCAGGGCCACAATGCGGCTGGAAGGATTAGGTCAAGTGAAAGAAAATCCCATGACCTTTTCGGGAATCGAACCCACGTCCTTCCGGCTTGTAGCATAGTGCCTCAATCAACTACGCTACCGCGTGCCACCAACATTCAGCGAGACACTGTTAGCATCATAAAAGTAAACCACATGAAATCATAATTTTTAATAGATGACTCAGAGTGGAGCGTTGTCGTTACAACCATCAGAGCAGGAAACTGAATTCCTACCATGTACACTGAAACATTTATAAACGAATAACGCCATTCATTGCCGGTCACGGTAGCCGAGCGGTCTAAGGCATGCACTGTCTTCGCTCGCTTGGAAGCCGGGATCGTGGTTTCCAGTCCCACTCAGGGCATTGGTGTTTGTGTGCGTTTTTCTGTTTTTGTATACAGGTAGAGGCCTTGCGACGAGCTGATCACTCGCCCAAGGAGTCCTACCGAATGTGTAAGATATAGTAAACCGAAGTGAAACGAGAGTTTCATGCAGATAGGCCTAGGCCCACTGGGGCTGTAGCGCCACAGAAAAAAAAAAGCAATTCATTAGCCTTTTACGTAATCTGCTGTGTTCATAGAGTCTAAAGGCTTCTGTCTATGGTGGACGACACTGGGTATTACTGGGGCTTTGGTGTATGTTCGGTATTGTAAAGAATATGAACTTTCGGAAACTGGACCCGTTTCCGTCATCAGGTGAGGAGTGGGGTCACCTACTCAGTTCCGTTAGGAAGAAATAATTTTAATCTCTGTTCCTGGTTATTCATTTCTAGAGGATTTAACAAATTAGGTATTCCCAACCCATCACCTGAGGATGGAAGTACGTTAATTTTCCGAAACGTGCTTTTATTGTTCTTTAGAATATCAGATAATGGACAAAGTGAAAAAGCCAGTAATCTCGATTGATATGTTCACATTTCCGAAATGCCAAATAGATTAATACTGTTGCCACATAGCGACCGGTGTTTAAGGGTGGTGTAGTTTCTGAATGTTGCAGTCATCGAAAATACTTGACGTTTCGATGCAGAGATAATATCTTAAAACAAGAGTAGGAAATTCCGGTAGAGTGTAACTACACAAACGGTAGAAGAGAGTGTTTTGCCCGTTTATCAAGTGACAGCTGCTGAATAAGCGGGTAGGTAGAGTCCTCTTATCCATGAGATAGCCCATCGAGCTCATTGCGAGAAATATTATGAAGGGAATTTTCTAAAATTTATCATTTAATCTGATTCTATATACGAGTAGAAATGCGCCTACTATACGCCTAAACATTGCAAATACTAAGATTAACAAAAGTTCCTCATTTCAGTTTGGAAAAGAAAAATTCACAATAAGAACATTTATAAATACACTAACAAAGACATGACAGACAAGGCTGTCGGTCAGAGAATTATAGTTAAATGAATCATATAAGTCTTTGTATTGTTATATTAAAATATTTTGCGAATATATTAGGTCATTAGATAATATAACCAGGAGTAATTTACTTAAATACAGAAATATTTTTATTAAATTTTATTTCATTTTCTTTATTATATGACACGCTTATCATATTATCTTCTCGTATTGCATACCCACTTGCTTGAAATTATGTTTTCTTTGCTGTGTCGCCACACTTTGAGGCGCTGTCTTCCTGTGTTGCATTTCGACTTGCCTAAAGTCTTGTGTCATTTTATTACATCTTCATCTTTTAAATAAGTTTTGTTCTTGTGTTTCATTTCCACACGTGTTGTGCGATTTGTTTTTGTTTTGGTGTATCTCTGCAAATTTTAGGCATTGTATTCTTGCATTACATCTCCATCACTTTAAAATGTTTCGTTCTCATATTTCATTTCCACTTGCCTAACCTATTTTGTTGTTACATTTCCACCTGTTGTGATCTTGTGTTACATTTCCACCCGTCTGTCGTGTTGTGTTCCTGTGTTGCATTTCCACCTGCCTACCGTGTTGTGTTCCTGTGTCACATTTCCACCTGCTTACCGTGTTGTGCTCATGTGTCACATTTCCACCTGCCTGTCGTGTTGTGTTCCTGTGTCGCATATACACCTGCCTGCCGTGTTGTGTTCCTGTGTCACATTTCCACCTGCCTAATGCGCCGTTTTCGTGTGTTACAATTCCACCCGCCTAATGCGCTGTGTTCTTGTGTTGCAGTTCCGCCTGCCTAATGCGCCGTGTTCTTGTGTTGCAGTTCCACCTGCCTAATGCGCTGTGTTCTTGTGTTGCAGTTCCACCGGCCTAATGCGCTGTGTTCTTCTGTTGCAGCATCAGATGTCTAACGACAAACAAGTGGCCCTGAAGAGCGTGAACCTCAAGTCTAGCGGCACCTACCGCTGCGAGGTGTCGGCAGAGAGACCCAACTTCTCGTCTGCGGGAGGCGAGGGCCGGATGGAAGTAGTGTGTAAGTCACAACAGTTATATATATCTACATATTGTCACGTACTGGGGGCTAGCGTGACTTGAAATGGTGGGTTCTGGATTTGATGATTGGGTTTACTGGCGCTTCTTTACAATTACAATCAATTAGCACAGGTCACACTCAATCGTGACTTCCGAGGCCTCTATTAATTCTGCTTCTCATTCCACCGGACTCTCACTGACTGACTTGAACGACGTCTGTCTCACGAATCAATTAATGAGTCGAGTCGAGTCTTATGTTTGACCGACGGTCAGTCGGCCAGTCTGTCTTGGAATAAAGCACCCGTCTGGGGATCACGACCAGATTTTTATTACTATCAGACATTTGCGGGTTTGTTGATGAGGGGCGCTCTCTCTAACGAGAGGACAGGGTCTGTCGTTTACAGTTGCTGCTGGTCCTCGCCAGCGCAGTCATTTTCGGTTCAGAATCCCGTGGAACTTGTGATCATATTTTACTGTCTCAGATTCGAGACTTCACTTTTCGTCTCCTACTATTCGCATTGCTATAGTGGGGTTATTCGACCCCGCCTTCACGCTGAATTGTTAATGTGGATTCTTCATGGCTCCTTATATAGGCTAGCTGATGTCCATGGAAATTCCTTTGTCAGAAATAGTTGTCACGAATACGCGTCCACCGAAACTTTCGATACTAAGCAACCGAAGTTCCACTGTTGACTCCGTTAGGAATGTGTTTACACAGCAACGGGTTTATTCTGGCTCTGTAGCTTAATGCTTTGGGCAACTACGTCACTATATATATATATATATATNTATTATTTATGTGCCGAGTCAACAGCCGCAAGGCCAATTACAGACAGAGCACAGTGTAGATACAGGTAATTGCATTATGGACAATCACAACATAAAGTCGAAGACAATTTACAGGCAAGCACTGGAGGAGACGAACAAAAATAATAATAATTCCTCATTTTACCGCAAAATCTTCTGACTATAGTGCCCGGTCTATTATCCAGAGTAAGTTTTCGCATAGTTTTCCGCACTGTTGGACATGAAAGGAGGGATATTTTATTTATTCATGGCGTGTTTAACGAGTTTTAAATTTGTGGTATTACACGGAGCCAAATGATACGATAATTAGTGAATAATTAATTGAAAAGGAACGGAAGTGGTCGTGAACTACTCTAAAATTCTACCCATCAGTTGTCTGAAGGCACGACGAAAACGCCGAAAGGACTTAGGGTTGATGGCCTCCAGGCCGAGGAATTCTGGGATAGTTCTTTGAAACAGGACACGAGCACGCCTCTACAATCCATTCTCAAGTTCACTGTGGTCATTTAAGACCACAGTGTTGGCACTCGCCGGTGCTGGAACTTGAAATCGCAGAAGAATTTTGTTGTTTGAAGACTCTAAGGGTAAGCCCCACACAAACACAACTTCAGTGGCATTATGCACGCTGCCTAATTTTGAACGGATCTTTCCAGATACAGCAACAAACTTATTGCTGCAGTATGTAGCATTCTCACAGCTGTATTTTTTTTTTAATTCGCTTAGTGGGGAGTGGAGTCCAACTGGGTCCACTCGGCACGGCGGCCACTGATTGGCCTATTGTAGCCTTACCCAGGTGATTATGATGATGGAGAATTTGGTGGAATGAAGATTGGCAAGGGAAACCGAAGTACTCGGAGTAAACCTGCCCCAGCGCCACTTTGTCCACCACAAATCCCACTTAACCAGACCCGGGATTGAACCCGGGCCGCCACGGTGGGAAGCCAGCTACTAACCGCTTGAGCTATGGCGCGGCCCACAGCTGTATTTACAAAGCGTTCTATCCACTGGGATACAATACTGTATAGTCAGTTGAAAATCAACGGACGTTTCGAAGTAACATCTCGCATTCTTCTTCAGGGTCGAATAATAAGTAAAACAAGAAAGTAGAGCTCTGCTTGTTGCCTGCTTCATACTGATTTCTTGTTTCGTTTATTCTTAAATCTTGAGGAAAGAGACGAAATATTTCTCCGAAACGTCTGTTTACTTACAAAGGACTAAAAAACATATCCCAGAAGACAGATTGCCTGCTACATCTTTTCAAGGGATAAATAATTATTTGAGTTCTTAATTACACTTCTCATACGAGGATTGTTTTCAGTTTGGAGGACACTTCAGAAGTGACTCCATTTTGTGCATAGTATAACCTGTTAACGCGCTACAAGAATTCACCATAACAAACGATTTGTGTATGTCACATTTCGCAGGATATCTCTATGCATTCGTCATCCTTAAGTTAGGTGAGGCGAGGTGAGGTGAGGTGACGTGACGTGAAGTGACATGACGTGACTTGACGTAACTTGGCGTGATTTCACGTGACTTCGTGTGACTTGGGGTGACTTGACGTCAGGCGAGACTAGGATAGATTAGGTTAGGTTAGGTTAGGCTAGGTTTGTACAGTAGAATTCTCCGCTTCAATCAGTAACTGAGGGGTACCATTCCCTGCTGTTAAGTTAGGTGAGGTGAGGTGACGTGACGTGGCGTGACTTCGCGTGACTTGGCGTGATTTGGCGTGATTAGACCTGACTTGGTGTGATTTGGCGTGACTTTGCGTAACATGACGTGATTTGGCGTGACTTGACGTCAGGCGAGACTAGGATAGATTAGGTTAGGTTAGGTTAGGCTAGGTTTGTACAGTAGAATTCTCCGCTTCAATCAGTAACCATTTGGCGTGACTTGGCGTGATTTGGCTAGGTGAGGTGAAGTGACGTGACGTGGCGTGACTTCGCGTGACTTGGCGTGATTTGGCGTGATTAGACCTGACTTGGTGTGATTTGGCGTGACTTTGCGTAACATGACGTGATTTGGCGTGACTTGACGTCATTTGGCGTGACTTGGCGTGATTTGGCGTGATTAGACCTGACTTGGTGTGATTTGGCGTGACTTTGCGTAACATGACGTGATTTGGCGTGACTTGACGTCATTTGGCGTGACTTGGCGTGATTTGAAGTGACTTGACGTCACTTGGCGTGATTTGACGTGACTTGACTTGAGGCAAGGCGACACGGGGCTAGGCGAGGGTAGCTAAGGTTAGGTTAGGTTAGATTAGTTTAGGTTAGGTTGGGTTATGTTAGGTTAGGTTACGTATGCTCAGTAGACTTGTGCGAATGAATCAGTAATTGAGAGGTATCATTACTTGCTGATAAGTTAGGTGAGGTGACGTGACGTGACTTGGCGTGATTAGACGTGACTTGACGTGACCTGGCTTAACTTGGCATGATTTGTCATGATTTGGCGCGACTGGGCGTGACTATGCGTGACATGACGTGACTTGGCCTGATTTGACGTGACTTGACGTAATTTGACGTGAGGCGAGGCTAGGTTAGGTAAGGATAGGTTAGGTTAGGTTAAGTTAGGTTAGGTTATGTTAGGGTAGGTTAGGTTAGGTTTGCGCAGTAGACTTGTGCGCATGAATCAGTAACTGAGGGGTACCGTTCCCTGCTGTCAAGTTAGGTGAGTTGAGGTGAGGTGAAGTGACGTGACGTGGCGTGACTTCGCGTGACTTCTCGTAACTTCGCGTGATTAGACGTGACTTGGCGTGATTTGGCGTGACTTGACGTAATTTAATGTGAGGCGAGGCTAGGCTAGATTAGGTTTGGTTAGGTCAGCTTGGGTTAGATTAAGTTAGGGTACGTTAGGTTTGCACGGTAGACTTGTGGCCATGAATCAGTAACTGAGGGGTACCATTCCCTGCTGTTAAGTTCGGTGAGGTGATGTGAGTTGAAATGACGTGACGTGACGTGACATGATTTGACGTGACAGCGTGGTTTGACGTGACTTGACGTCATTTGGCGTGACTTGGCGTGATTTGACGTGATTTGTCGTGATTTGGCGCGACTGGGCGTGACTATACGTGACATGACGTGACTTGGCCTGATTTGACGTGACTTGACGTAAATTGACGCGAGGCGAGGCTAGGTTAGGTAAGGCTAGGTTAGGTTCACGATACGTTAGGTTAGGTTTGCGCAGTAGACTTGTGGGCATCAATCAGTAACTGAGGGGTACCATTTCCTACTGTTAAGTTAGGTGAAGTGAGGTGATGTGACTTGGCGTCATTAGACGTGACTTGGCATGACATGACGTAACTTGTCGTGACTTGATGTGACTTGGCGTGACATGAAATGACTTGGCGTGATTTGACGTGACTTGACTTAATTAGACGTGAGGCGAGGCTAGGCTGGGATAGGTTAGGTTAGGTTAGCTTAGGTTAGGTTAGGTTAGGTTATGGTAGGTTAGGTTTACTCAGTATACTTGCGCGCATCAATCAGTAACTGTGCGTTACCATTCCCTGCTGTTAAGTTAGGTGAGGTGACGTGAAGTGAGGTGACGTGACGTCGTGTGACTTAGCATGATTAGACGTGACTTGGCATGACATGGCGTGACTTGATGTGACTTGGCGTGACATGAAATGACTTGGCTTGATTTGACGTGACTTGACGTAATTAGACGTGAGGCGAGGCGTAGCTAGGCTAGGCTAGGTTAGGTTAAGTTACGTTGGGTTAGGTTATGGTAGGTTAGGTTTACGTTAGGTTTGGTTAGGTTTGCGCAGTGGACTTCTGCGCATCAATCAGTAAATTAGGGGTACCATTCACTGCTGTTAAATTAGGTGAAGTGGGGTGAGGTGAGTTGACGTGACTCGAAGTGACGTGACTTCGCGTGATTTGGTGTGACTTGGCTTGCTTTGACGTGACTTGACGTAATTTGATGTGAGGCGAGGCGTGAGGGGGCGAGGCGAAGCTAGGTTAGGTTAGGGTAGGTTAGGTTAGGTTAGGTTATGTTACTTTTGCGCAGAATACTTGTGCGCATCAATCAGTAACTGAGGGCTACCAGTCCCTGCTGTTAAGTTAGGTGAAGTGAGGTGAGGTGATGTCACGTCACGTTACTTGGCGTGACTTCGCGTGATTTGGCGTGATTAGACGTGACTTGGCGTGACTTTGCGTGACATGACGTGACTTGGCGAGATTTGACGTGACTTGA